CTCCCAAAGTGCTGGGATTACAGGCTTGAGCCACCGCGCCCGGCCACCTTTTTTCTTAAATAAATTGTAATATCCTCATCTAAGCTATTTAACAACTTTAAAATAAAATATTTTGTTACTTTTTTTTTTGAAACGGAGTCTCTGTTGCTCACGCTGGAGTGCAGCGGCGGGATCTCTGCTCACTGCAACCCTCTGCCTCCTGGGTTTAAGGTATTCTCCTGCCTCAGCCTCCTTAGTAGCTGGGATTACAGGTGCGTACCACCATACCTGGCTAATTTTGTGTATTTTTAGTAGTGACGGGTTTTCAACATGTTGGCCAGGCTGGCCTCAAACTCCTGACCTCAGGTGACCCACCTGCCTCAGCCTCCCAAATTGCTAGGATTATAGGGAGCCACTGCTGCTTTTTTAAATTGTCTTTTTCTTTACTGGGATTTCCGTTTGAATGATCCTGATGGATAAGAATGCTGTTAATTTTTTTTCCCTCATAGCCTGCAGCTTTTCTCAGTTCACTTATTGTGGGATTTTATTGTCATTGTTGATTTCCCAGGATGATAATCATGCTGTCTGAAGAGCTGCTTTTTATTTCTTTCTTTCTCGTATATGATTAGTCTAATTGTTTTTTCCTCAGTATTGATTGTCAGCTTTTCCAGCCTTGTATCATGTGGAAAAAGAGGCTGGGGATGCCTTTTGATGTTTTGGTTTTAAAATAACTGACTCTAGTGCTTCACTAAGTATGATGTTGGTGCTTGGTGATTTTACGATAAATTATTTTAAAATAATATGTCATCTTTATCATGTATAACCAGCTTTTAAAACAAGTTCTTGGCTTAAGTCAAAAAACTATGCAGATCACTTTCTCCTTGTAACATTTCTAAATTTCATCCACATCTGAATAATCCTTTTGTTCTTTTTTTTCCCCCTCATTCTTGCTGTCATCTTAATCTACTCTAATCCTTGTCTTAGTAGCAAGAAATATTTTTTTCCTGAAAATTTTCTTTAGTGTCAGAGCCATTTGTGATTGTAGTGGTTTTACCCCGCTCTACTGAGCGCATTTGTTGTAACCTTATCGCTCTGTGATACACTCAGATGTAAATCTTCCGGAGTCTGATGGGTGCTTGACAGTGGCCTTTCCTTCACCAGAAATTGCTCTGATTTCTAGTGAAGTAAAACAGCCTTCCATGGAAGCACGAAAAGTGGCTGGTCCCAGGTTTCAGTCTTAACTCAGAGTTTTTGCCTTCTAGGTTCTAAGTGTACATTGATTTTTCTTCCTAGTCAGTACTCTTTTTTTTTTTTTGAGACAGAGTTTCACTCTTGTTACCCAGGCTGGAGTGCAATGGCGCAATCTCGGCTCGGCGCAATCTCGGCTCACCGCAACCTCCGCCTCCTGAGTTCAGGCAATTCTTCTGCCTCAGCCTCCTGAGTAGCTGGGACTACAGGCGTGCACCACCATGCCCAGCTAATTTTTGTATTTTTAGTAGAGACGGGGTTTCACCATGTTGACCAGGATGGTCTCGATCTCTTGACCTTGTGATCCACCCGCCTCGGCCTCCCAAAGTGCTGGGATTATAGGCGTGAGCCACTATGCCGGGCCACCTAGTCAGTACTCTTAAAAGGCTGGGGACAGTTGACATTCCTGTTTGAGTGAAAAGCACTCTCATCCCATGAATGTGTTTCTTGGGATTTCTGCTATTAATTTTTTTTTTTTTTTTTTTTTGAGATGGCATCTTGCTCTGTCTCCCAGGCTGTAATGCAGTGGTGAAATCTTGGCTCACTGCAACCTGTGCCTCCCAGATTCAGTGATTCTCTTGCCTCAGCCTCCCTAGTGGGATTACAGCCACCTGCCACCACGCCCAGCTAGTTTTTTGTAATTTTAGTAGAGACAAGGTTTCACCATGTTGGCCAGGCTCGTCTCGAACTCCTGACCTTAGGTGATCCGCCCACCTCAGCCTCCCAAAGTGCTAGGATTATAGGCATAAGCCACCATGCCTCGCCTTTTTTTTTTGAAATGATTGTAGTGTCATAGGAAGTTAGAAAAATAGTACTAAGAGACCCTGTGAACCTATCTCCTAGTCCCCACCAGTGGTGACGTCTTGTGGAATTTCCATTTTCAGTGCTTCCAGGGACAGCTCTGTCTTTTTCAGCATGTCTTTTTAGCATCTTCATTACAGTCAGCCTTTAGTCCATGCTGTGCTTACGCAGTAATTTCCCCAGCTAGGAGACAGGACTAGGTGATGTGGTTCTTTTTTTAAAAAATAGGTTTAGCAGGTACAAGTACCATTTCCTTACATGCACATATTGTGTAATGTTGAAGTCTGGGCTTTGGCAGTACCCATTGCCCAAATAGTGAAAACTGTACCCAGTAGGTAACTTTTCAGGCCTCAGACCCCTCCCATCCTCCCACATTCTGAAGCCTCCAATGTCTGTTTTGTTTTGTTTTTTTGAGACGGAATCTCTGTTGCTGAAGATGGAGTGCAGTGGCACTATCATGGCTCATGCCTCATGGCTCACTGCAACCTCTGCTTCCTGGGTTCAAGTGATTCTTCTGCCTCAGTCTCCCAAGTAGCTAGGGTTAAAGGCACCCGCTACCACTTGCCTCAGCCTCCCAAAGTGCTAGGATTACAGGCACGAGCCACTGTGCCCCGCCCCCATGTCTCTTACTCCATTCTGCATGTCCATGTGTAGCCCTTGCTCAGCTCCCATGTTGACGAGATTCTTGCCCTTTTTTTGCTATTATCTTTTTTCCTTGAGCAAGGCATTTAATCTGTCTCAGCCTTAATTTCTTCTCTGTAAAATGAGGGACGCAGTCACATATACTTAGATTTTTCTTTTTTTGCACTAGTCCATTTTTTTTCTTTGTGGAGGAATTTGTACAGGATTTTTCTTTTTCTAAAGTGTGATTGCTTAGTGGAAAGGCCAGCCTCTAGATTGGAAGAAGCCATTGATCAGCCCTTGTCTGAGTTGTTATCCTCTTTAACTTCCATGGAACAAACAGGAATTTAAAAACTGAAACATCATTTAGGCTCATTTCAAAGACACATAGAATGATAAGAGCAATGGTGAGTTAACAGATTTGGAACTGGCAATTAAACAGAATACCAGTAATGTGGAAAAAAGCAAAGGCATATAGAACAATTTCCTATCCTTAGCAATAAATTCACACAGAATCCTGTCACCTGCACATTTTAAGTAGAAAAGGATGACCCCAGAACGTGGATTTAAAATTAATAACGCTAAGATGGTTATTATCATTAGTGATAACTTCTATATAATTGTCATGGAGAGCTTATTATGCATGAATCTGTAACTTGTTATTATGGTCTTCACTAGAAATTGCATGTCTTTTATTTCTGAAATAAATTATTGGGATGAAGAGCACTGTCAGTTTTTGTATTAAATTGTTTCAGTAGAGCATGGCAGAATATTTAACATGATGAATCTGAATGAACTGATCAGAGTTGGAGCCAGTCGAGATGGTTAATGCCTATAATCCCAGCACTTTGGCAGGCCAAGGTGGGCGGATCACCCGAGGTCGGGAGTTCAAGACCAGCCTGACCAACATGGAGAAATCCTGTCTCTACTAAAAAATTAGCCTGGTGTGGTGGTACATGCCTGTAATCCCAGCTACTAGGGAGGATGAGGCAGGAGAATTGCTTGAACTCGGGAGGCAGAGTTTGCGGTGAGCCAAGATTGCACCACTGCATTCCAGCCTGGGCAACAAGAGTGAAACTCTTGTCTAAAAAAAAAAAAAGCGCAAGGAAATTATCAGACTTATGTGAGAAATGTGGTTCTGCACTGGATGTTCTGTAGACAGAAGAGAAAAAAATCCCAGCCTAGAAGCGTTATTGAAATTGCATCGAGGAAAAACTTTAGTCTAGGGGTCAGATTGTCACTCTGAGAGAACTACTGCATTCTGTCTCGCTCTCATCAGAGGAAATTCTTGTACCAGTACCACTCAAATTCTCTGTTCTCCAAGTCCTGGCCTCAAGGGATTCTCATGTCTTAACATCCCAAATAGCTGGGATTACAGGCACACGCCACCACACCCAGCAAATTCTCCATTCTTTACAAAAAATTTTTTTTTCTTTGTTGAGACAGTCTCGCTCTGTTGTCCAGGCTGGAGTGCAGTGGCATGATCTCAGCCCACTGCAACCTCCGCCTCCTGGGTTCAAGCCATTCTCCTGCCTCAGCCTCCCAAGTAGCTGGGATTATAGGCATGTGCCATCACGCCTGGCTAATTTTGTAGCCTGGCGTCTTGGTCAGGCTGGTCTCAAACTCCTGACCTCAAGTGATCTGCCCACCACAGCCCCCCAAAGTGCTAGGATCATAGCCGTGAGCCCTATACAACTTTTCAAATTCTCTTATTTTTTTTTTTTTTTTGAGACAGAGTCTTATTCTGTCACCCAGGCTGGAGTGCAGTGGCGTGATCTCAGCTCACTGCAACTTCCTCCTCCTAGGTTTAAGCGATTTCCCTGCCTCAGCCTCCTGAATAGCTGGGACTACTGACTCACACCACCACACTTGGCTGATTTTTGTATTTTTAGTAGGGATGGGGTTTTGCCCTGTTGGCCAGGCTGGTCTCGAACTCCTGACTTCAGGTGATCTGACCACCTTTGCCTCCCAAAGTGCTGAGATTACAGGCATGAGCCACTTGCACCAGCCTCTCAAATTCTCATTATTTCCTTTGATTTAATTCCTGGGCTGGGCTCCTCTGCCTTGCACGCATGGTTTTGTGTTGCTTTGGCTTTGGAATCAGTAACCAATCCCTGTCATCATATTCCTTGCTGACTCGGGAAAAATGGAAATTACCAAGAGTTATAAAGTAATACAGAAAGGCACGGTGCTCCCATCTATGATTAAGTGCATGCGACTAATTCATACTTAAGAAGGTTTTTTTTGTCTCCTCTCCTTGCTCTGTTTAAATTGCTGATTCTCTCACGCCTGATGACTCTTCTCTCAAATGCCCATCCTTGGTATTTCCTCGAAGTTTTGTGCACCGAGGGCGGCCTGAGCCTCTGGATCTTCACTTGGGCATGTTCCTGCCCACCTTGCTTCACCAGGCAACTGCGGAGCAGCAGGAGCGCTTCTTCATGCCCGCCTGGAACTTGGAGATCATTGGCACTTATGCCCAGACAGAGATGGGTCATGGTATGGTGTATTCAGTCTACTTAATGGGTTGGGCGGGCCCCTGTGAACTTAGCATGTATTGGAATGCCCACCATGTGCCATTGATGATGTGTCAATGTTCTATGGTCTCTTTAAATGAGCTCTTTTTGAAGAGTCCAGGTTTTGGTATAAAGACTGCTTTGCAGTGATAAAATTATTGTCTTTTTTTTTTATGCCATAGTTCCCCTTCAGAAGGTCAAGAATGGCAAGTCAGGCCTTATTTACCAAGTGGCATTTCAATGTTACTGAGGCTGTGTAGAATCTGTGTGCGTATAGAGCCTAAAGCTGTTTTTTTCTTCAGTACTGTCTGATTACCTTTAGTACTGATACCTTAATTAACTTTTGAAATTCCAGAAGAAATACAAATAATAGTTTGTGTACTCTTGGATTTGCTTCAGGGAAATGGGTACTTATTTTTTTGTTTGTTTTGTTCTGTTCTTTTGTGTTTTTTTTTTCCCCCACCACCTGTCAAGCAGGAAATGGGTACTTATAACCAAAGTGTGTAACATTTTATGCCTTGGAGTTATTTGTACTTTGAGCCAATCAGTAGTTCTACAAGTGACTTAGCCAGAGAGTGAAAAAATCAAGATAAGCCGAACTTGCCAGCCTTTGGTTTCAGACTCTGTATCTCCACCTTTCATTGATCTTTCCATCCCCTCCTGCTTTCTTCAGGCACCTGGGTGGGTTGGTGGTGGCCGTTGTTCCTCTTCGCATCTGCTCTGAATTGGTCCGCGTTTGCCTTTCATTTGCTTATAGCTTCTCTTTTTGCTCTGATGTTTCAGAAGAACTGGTCTAGTGTGTATCTACCACTTGCTTCTTATTTCCCTATAGCTGCTGCTTTTTACTTGGTGCTGAGTAGTAGTTTACAGGATTTTCATGAGACTGCAAGTGGAATCGTATTTGTTTCGGCTGTGCTTTTGAAAACATTTTGTCCTTATCTGTTCTGTTTAATGTTACCCCTTTTCTGTAAAAGCTGCTTCTTTGATGAAAGCTGTCTGTGTCTGATTTGTTGACTCCCTCTCAGGAAAGTTGTGGATCACACGTTAAGTTGGTTATTCAGCTTGGAAGCTTCTAAATGTTTCAAAGTGTAAGTGTTTAATGAGGTCTAGCGTTGTGAAAGCAGACTGGTAAAGGGTTCCTAACATTTGCTTTGGTACAGTATTTTCATGGAGAGTGCCACCTAGAACATTTTTCTATAACTCTTTTCAAATAATTTTGGTATATTTGTGTTAGGATTTAAAACATAAGACCCTGTCCATCCCAGTATGTGTATGAACCTGGAAACACTTCCTTGGTGCATTAAGGAATGCACCAGCTTAGGACTAAGTTAGACCTGCTATTGGAAATCTGTAGGGTCAATTGAGACCTTATTGTTGGACCTTTAGGAATTTTTTTTCTTTTTTTTTTTTATTCTGTTTTTGTTTTTTCTTATTTTTTGTTGTTGTTTTTTTAGGGATTTTTTTAAAGTTATGTTCTGGGTCATTTCTCCCATAATGATTATACTGTTTAAAGGTCTTATTTTCCATTCTAGCAATCATTCTGAAATAAAATTTTAATTTATAAGAATTTTAGCTGAAATGACTTCCTCTCACATGTTATCTTATTCTCATTAGTGTAGAATTCTAGAATGTTGAATGGGTGTTGTTACTACAATACATATGAGTTGAAATTGGCATACTGCAACTCAGAGATAGGTTTAAAAGGACACTTAACACCCCAGTTAAATTCATATATTGTGATCTTACAAATGTGATTCTAAGTTGCTTTATATTTCCCTTTAGTTGCTGCAAATAAATGTAACAAATCAAATATAGAAACGGAACATGCATGACACTTACATTTTCAACTTAATGGGAAACCATCAGATAGTATGGGAAATTCGGGATCTTGATTATCAACCAGTTGTAGCTCATCTGCAGGTGTTTTTTGTTAGATTTTCTTTTTCTCTGAGATACGAGAGTTTAAAGGACTGTGCAGGAAGTTTTACCTTCTGCTTTTTTTTTTTCTTTCCCATCTCTTTCTTACCTGATGTCAATGTGATTTATCTCCTTAGGAACTCATCTTCGAGGCTTGGAAACCACAGCCACATATGACCCTAAAACCCAGGAGTTCATTCTCAACAGTCCTACTGTGACCTCCATTAAATGGTGGCCTGGTGGGCGTAAGTGAATTTTTCAGCATTTATTGGAGTTTTTGAAGGTTTGTCATGAGATTTTGCTTAGAATGTAGTGCTTATATGAGAATGTCTGCCAGCCTTGGTTGGCTCATGCCTGTAATCCTAACACTTCGGGAGGCTGAGGTGGGCATATCACTTGAGGTCAGGAATTCAAGACCAGCCTGGTTAATATGGTGAAATCCTGCCTCTACTAAAGTAAATACAAAAATTCGGTTGCAGGCGGAGGCCCATGCCTGTAATCTCAGCACTTTGGGAGGCCGAGGCAGGTGGATCCCCTGAGGTCAGGAGTTCAAGACCAGCCTGGCCAACATGACGAAACCCTGTCTCTACTAAAAATAGAAAAATAGCCTGGCATACTGGCTGGCACTTGTAATCCCAGCTACTGGGGAGGCTGAGGCAGGAGAACTGCATGAACCTAGAAGGCAGAAGTTGCAGTGAGCTGAGATTGTGCCATTGCACTTCAGCCTGGGTAACGAGAGAAAAGTTCATCTCAAAAAAAAAAAAAAAATGAGCCTAGCATGGTGGAGCACACCTGTAGTCCCAGCTACTTGGGAGGCTGAGGTAGGAGAATCCCTTAAACCGGTAAGGTTGCAATGAGCTGAGATCACACCATTGCACTCCAGCCTGGGCAGTGGAGCGAGACGCTGTCTCAAAAACAAACCAACAAACAAGCGTGGTAGGGGGGAGGATAAGGGGGAGCCTGGCATAGTGGCACATACCTGTAGACCTGTAGTTGTGGCTACTCAGGAGGCTGAGGTGGGAGGACTGCTTGAGTCCAAGAGTTCAAGCCTGCAGTGAGCCTATGATCATGCTACTGCACTCTAGCCTGGGCGACAGAGTGAAACCCTATCTCCTAAAAGAAAAATTAATAAATAGCTTTGACATGAAACTTTTATATCTTCTTACTGCCATTCTGAGTTATCTTGGAATATGTATTTCTGATACAGTTAGTGGTTGAAGGATTTTTTAATTCACGTTATCTATATGTATATATATCTATATAGATATATATATAGATTTTTTTATTTTGTTGAGACGGAGTCTTGCTTTGTCATCCAGGCTGGAGTGCAGTGGCACGATCTCGGCTCACTGCAACCTCCACCTCCTGGGTTCAAGTGATTCTCCTGCCTCAGCCTACCAAGTATCTGGGATTACAGACGTGTGTTACCACTCCCAGCTAATTTTTGTATTTTTAATAGAGACAGGGTTTTACCATGTTGACTAGGCTGGTCTTGAACTCCTGACCTCGTTCCGCCCACCTTGGCCTCCCAAAGTGCTGGGATTACAGGCATGAGCCACCACACCTGGCTTTTTTTTGGAGACAGAGTCTTGCTTGGTTGCCCAGGCTAGAGCGCAATGGCGTAATCTCAGCTCACTGCAACCTCTGCCTCCCAGGTTCAAGCAATTCTCCTGCCTCAGCCTCCCAAGTAGCTGGGACTGCAGGCGCGTGCCACCACACCCAGCTTATTTTTTGTATTTTTAGTAGAGATGGGGTTTTACTGTGTTAGCCAGGATGGTCTCCATCTCCTGACTTTGTGTCCGCCTGCCTCAGCCTCCCAAAGTGCTGGGATTACAGGTGTGAGCCACAGTACTCAGCCATATGTTTTATTGAATTGTAATTTAAATGTAAGAAGCCATACGTAGCTAGTGATTACTGTTTTGGACCGCACTGCCTTAAGGGATAACCAGGAAGTAATTTAAATTAATATTTTTATCCTAAAATTTTCTCTACGTAAATGCATGAGAAATAAGTAGAAGAGAAAGTAGTAACTGTCAGCTTAAGGGAATTTCTTTCTGAAAGCTAGGTGTGATACTGTCAGCAGAAAGGCTTTCTGGACACGGATTGGTTTAGTCTAGTGTTAGATCTAACATATACTTTCTTCTTTTTCTACACTTTGAAAATGTAAGAATGTTTGCTAACCTCTCACTTGTTCTCTTTGATGTTACAGTTGGAAAAACTTCAAATCATGCAATAGTTCTTGCCCAGCTCATCACTAAGGGGAAATGCTATGGATTACATGCCTTTATTGTACCTATTCGTGAAATCGGGACCCATAAGCCTTTGCCAGGTAAGAATTGTTCATCTGATGTTGAGATGAAAATTAAACTGAGCACTTTCTTCTGCAGAAGGTAGGATGCCCTACTGAAAAGGCAGAGCGGAAACCAGAAATTCTCGAGCATAAACATCTTGTGACTTTCCTTTCATCTGTGGTAGGAATTACTGTTGGTGACATTGGCCCCAAATTTGGTTATGATGAGATGGACAATGGCTACCTCAAAATGGACAACTATCGTATTCCCAGAGAAAACATGCTGATGAAGTATGCCCAGGTATGCTTTGATGGAAAATAGAAGCAGAGGCATCAAACAATGGGGTTGCAGTGGCTCTTGCTAACAACAGGGTTAGAATGGTCTGTTTTTTTAGAAGGTAATAACAACCAGGCAATCTGGCATATTCCTGTTATCCCAGCACTTTGGGAGTCTGAGTGTGTGGACTGCTTGAGCCCAAGAGTTCAAGACCAGCCTAGGCAACATAGTGAGAGCCTATCTCTACAAAAAGTAAAAAAGTCTAACTGGGTATGGTGCACACGTGTGTAGTCCCAGCTATTTGGGAGGCTGGGGTGGGAGGATCACTTGAGCCTGGGAGGTCAAGGCTGCAGTGCGCTGTCAGTGTGCAACTGTACTCCAGCCTGGATGACAGTGAGACCCTGTCTCAAAAAAAAGGAAGTAAAAATGTATTTTTACTTCTGATGTTTCTTTTATTTTGACAGTGAAATCAGAAGCAGTTAGCGGTGAAGGACATATTTTGATTTGCTAAACCAGTGATTCTCAAACTTCTGCATGTGCTAGAATCACCTGGAAGGCCAGTTAAAGCCCAGATTGCCAGGCCCTACCCCGGAGTTTCTGATTCAGTTGGTCAGGGTGGGGACTAAGATGTAGTGTTTCACACAAGTTGCCAGGTAATGCTGATGCTGCTGTTCTAGGGAGCACACTGAGAACCAATGAACTGCCTCTTGGGCTTAACAGAAGGAAGCATCAGTCCCATGTTCTTCTTCCAGGTGAAGCCTGATGGCACGTATGTGAAACCGCTGAGTAACAAGCTGACTTATGGGACCATGGTGTTTGTCAGGTCCTTCCTTGTGGGAGAAGCTGCTCGGGCTTTGTCTAAGGCGTGCACCATTGCCATCCGATACAGCACTGTGAGGCACCAGTCTGAAATCAAGCCAGGGTAAGGGTAGAGTCCGATATGGGCTCAGTACTGAAGGCCTAGTTTTCCCCTCATTCAGATCCCAGAATTCCCAAATGTCAGTACGGAAGATGCATTGTCACTGCAGAATTGGCTAGGGTGATACTGGGCCTGCAACTTGGTATCTAGGCTTCCTTTTCTTAAGAGGAGAGATAGGAGTAACCACCTTTGTTATAATCAGTGGCTTCCAAAAAAGAAAAAAAGAGAATATCCACCTTATTATTTTTAACCTTCTAAGAAAAGTAGTAATAATATTACTTGAGCTTTATAAGTGAAATGTTCAACACACTAAAGGCAATTTGAAAGTTCCAGTTACCACTAGCAACTATAAATTGTATATGGTGAAAGTGACATTAGGCCAGACATGGTGGCTTACGCCTGTAATCTCAGCACTTTGGGAGGCCGAGGCAGGTGGATCACAAGGGCGGGAGTTTAAGACTAGCCTGGCCAAGATGGTGAAACCCTGTCTCTACTAAAAATACAAAAATAAGCAAGGTATGGTGGCGGGCGCCTGTAATCCCAGCTACCCAGGAGGCTGAGGCAGAGAAATGCTTGAACCCGGGAGGCAGAGGTTGCAGTGAGCCAAGATCATGCCGCTGCACTCCAGCCTGGGCAACAGAAGAAGACTCCATCTCAAAAAAAAAAAAAAGAAAGTGCTGGCTGGGCACGGTGGCTCACGCCTGTAATCCTAGCACTTTGTGAGGCCAAGGTGGGTGGATCACCTGAGGTCAGGGGTTCAAGACCAGCCTGGCCATCATGGTGAAACCCCATCTTTAAAAAAAAAAAAAAAAAAAAAGTGATATTAAATTTGTTTCCCTTTTTTACATTCATGGCCATAGTTTATTCCTACAACTGCCTTTCACTGATGCTTCCTGATACTCTTTTTACTCTTAACGAATAAAGAAACTGGCCAGGTTTGGTACTTACACCTATAATCCAAGCACTTTGGGAGGCCAAGGCAGGAAGATTGCTTGAGCCTAGGAGTTTGAGACCAACCTGGGCAACATAGCAAGACCCTGTGTCTATTTTCTTTTCTTTTCTTTTGAGACAGAGTCTCACTCTGTCACCCAGGCTGGAATGCAGTGGTGCAATTTCAGCTTGCTGCAACCTTTGCCTCCTGGGTTCAAGTGATTCTACCAAGCCCCCCAAGTAGCTGGGATTACAGGCAGACGCCACCACACCTGGCCAATTTTTATATTTTTAGTAGAGACACGGTTTCGCTATGTTGGGCAGACTTGTCCATTTTCAAAAAGATTAAAAATAGACAAGGCACAGTAGCTCATACTGTAATCTCAGCACTTTGGGAGGCCAATTCAGGCAGACCACAAGGTCAGGAGTTCAAGACCAGCCTGGCCAATATGGTAAGACCCCCATCTCTACTGAAAATACAAAATTAGGCAGGCATCGTGGTCTGTGCCTGTAGTCCCAGCTACTTAGGAGGCTGAGGCAGAAGACTCACTTGAACCCGGGAGGCAGAGGTTGCAGTGAGCCAAGATCGCACCACTGTACTCCAGCCTGGGTGACAGAGAGACTCTTGTCTCAATGAAAAACAAATAAATATGGAATTCAGATGGCAGATAAGGAACTAAAAAAGAAAAAAAAATAAATAATAAATTTATTTTAAGGCCAGGCACAGTGGCTCATGCCTGTAATTCCAGCACTTTGGGAGGCCAAGGCAGATCGATCGCTTGAAGTCAGAAGTTCAAGACCAGCCTGGCCAACATGGTGAAACCCCATCTTTACTAAAAATACAAAAATTAGTTGGGCATAGTGGCGGTGCCTGTAATTCCGGCTATTCAGGAGACTGAAGCAGGAGAATCACTTGAACCCAGGAGGTAGAGGTTACAGTGAGCCAAGATCACAACACTGTGCTCCAGCTTGCATGATAGAGGGATAGAGGGAGACTTTGTCTCAAAAAAAAATAATAATAATGATAATTACATTTTTAAAAAGTAACGAGGAAATTGATACAAGCAGACCTCTGCCAGTTCTTACACTTCAAAATATTCAACACCGTGCATTGGGTCTTCTCCAAGATTGTGGTCAAAATACAGTCTATTCAGCCATCTAGCAAGCAGATCTTTTCAGCATTGCCGCCTTATTAGGTTGGCTAGTGTTGGTTTTATGTGTTGCTAGGAGCTGTGGTTTTCTTAATCATACTGGAAAGCCTAGGACAGAGATGGATTATGCAGAGAGAAAATTCTGTCGACCTAAAGCAGTACAAGGTAATTAGAGCATGGTCTTCAGGAGCCAGATAGCCTACATTTGGCTGAGCACCGTGGCTCACGGCTGTAATCCCAACATTATGGGAGGATGAGGCAGGAGAATTGCTTGAACCCAGGAGGCAGAGCTTGCTTTGAGTCAAGATTGTACCACTGCACTCCAGCCTGAGCGACAGAGGGAGACTCCATCTCAAAAAAAAAGAAAAAAGCCTCAATTTAAATCTAAGATGTGTCACACATGAGCTGTGTGACCTCAGGCAGATTCTTAACCTCTCAGTTTCCCATGTGTAAAATGGAGATAATAATAGTAACTACCTCACAGTGCCCTTATGAAGACTGAAGTTAAAATATCAAGCGCTTATATTAGAACCTAGCACATAGAAAGTTCTGTATAGACATTTACTTGTTATTATTATTTTCTATGTAATGTAGTGAACCAGAACCGCAGATTTTGGATTTTCAAACCCAGCAGTATAAACTCTTTCCACTTCTGGCCACTGCCTATGCCTTCCAGTTTGTGGGCGCATACATGAAGGAGACCTATCACCGGATTAACGAAGGCATTGGTCAAGGGGACCTGAGTGAACTCCCTGAGGTATGCGTTTGGTCTCATTGACTCATGGGCACCCTTCTGTTTCATGGTTGCCTATTGGACCATGTCCAGAGAAAATTAAATGTTGGGACTGATTGCCTGAAAAGAATTATGTAGAACTTTTTCTGGTTGAAAGTGGATCAGATATGAAGATCTGTGGGGTTTGTTTTTAAGTATTTTTAGTGTTATTAGAAATGTTGTACCATGTCAATTATTTGTCATTCAAGGAAACATAAGTGGTGACTTTTCTTCCAAGTAGAACAGCTCAGGAGGGCATGGGTAGTGTTCTCTGTTCTTCTGGCCTCCGACAGCTGCGCTTCTTCAGTTTGCGTGTGTGGCAGCTGTGTTTTGACAGTGGCCAGGATGTGAGAGGAGGGGTGTGTTTTCTCATTGGTTCTTGGCCTGTCAGCACCACAGATGTTCTGACGGATCTGTGCTTGTCCTCTCAGCTTCATGCCCTCACCGCCGGACTTAAGGCTTTCACCTCCTGGACGGCAAACACTGGCATTGAAGCATGTCGGATGGCTTGTGGTGGGCATGGCTATTCTCATTGCAGTGGTCTTCCAAATATTTATGTCAATTTCACCCCAACCTGTACCTTTGAGGGAGAAAACACTGTCATGATGCTACAGACGGCTAGGTGAGAATCAAATTCGTGATTTCTCTCATCTGTTCATAAGAATGTTCTAGTATTTTTCCTAGGTTCTTGTTCCCATGTTTTCTTTTCACCATATATGTGTATATGTTCCTGAAGGTATAATTTTGCCTTCCATACTGACTCACTCTGCTAGAGAGTATGAAGCACCTGTTACATCATTTGAAGTCATGTCAAGAGTAGAGTTACTGGGCTGGGCACAATGTCTCACACCTGTAATCCCAGCATTTTGAGAGGCCGAGGCAGGCGGATCACTTGAGGTCAGGAGTTTGAGACCAGACTGACCAACATGGTGAAGCCCTATCTCCACTAAAAAACACAAAAATTAGCTGGGCATGGTAGTGCATGCCTGTAATCTCAGCTACTTGGGAGGCTGAAGCTGAAGAATCGCTTGAACCCGGGAGACGGAGGTTGCAGTGAGCCATGATCGGGCCATTGCACTCCAGCCTAGGCAGCAAGAACGAAACTCCATCTCAAAAAAAATAAAAAAAGAGTGGAGTTACTAAAAGTATGTTTACTGGTGATTTTTAGGTTCCTGATGAAAAGTTACGACCAGGTGCACTCAGGAAAGTTGGTGTGTGGCATGGTGTCCTATTTGAACGACCTGCCCAGTCAGCGCATCCAGCCACAGCAGGTAGCAGTCTGGCCAACCATGGTGGACATCAACAGCCCCGACAGCCTAACAGAAGCATATAAACTCCGTGCAGCCAGGTGAGCTCGCCCTCAGGAGCTAGAGTATGCAGCAGTGGGGCTGGGGCCCTAAGAGGTGACAAGAAGGCATCTGTCATCTGTCTGATGACTTGATCATTTCCTCAGACCTCCAATCTGTGTCTTAACAGATTAGTAGAAATTGCTGCAAAAAACCTTCAAACAGAGGTGATTCACAGAAAAAGCAAGGAGGTAGCATGGAACCTAACTTCTGTTGACCTGGTTCGAGCAAGTGAGGTCAGTGGTAGTTCTTTTTCTCTTTCTCTGCCCCCCAGCATCCTGCCTTTTCTAGGGCAGAAACCCTAGTCACTGTGCATTGAACCTTTTTCCATTCTCAAACTCTGGTGTTTTCTTTCTATCTTAGGCACATTGCCACTATGTGGTAGTTAAGCTCTTTTCAGAAAAACTCCTCAAAATCCAAGATAAAGCCATTCAGGCTGTCTTAAGGAATTTATGTCTGTTGTATTCTCTGTATGGAATCAGTCAGAATACAGGGGATTTTCTTCAGGTCAGTATTTTCTAAGTTTTTTTATTGTTTGTTGTTGTTGTTGTTGTTTTTGAGACAGAATCTTGCTGTTACCCACACTGGAGTGCAATGGCGCGAGCTCAGCTCACTGCAACCTCTGCCTCCCGGATTCAAGCGATTCTCCTGCCTCAGCCTCCCAAGCAGCAGGGACTACTACCATCACGCCCGGCTAATTTTTTGTATCTTTAGTAAAGACGGGGTTTCACCGTATTAGCCAGGATGGTCTTGATCTCCTGATCTTGTGTTCCACCCACCGCAGCCTCTCAAAGTGCTGGGATTACAAGCATGAGTGAATCACCACACCCAGCCTTGTTGTTTTAAGAAAAATAGGCTGGGCGTGGTGGCTCACACCTGTAATCCAAGCACTTTGGAGGCCAAGGCGGGTGGATCACCTGAGGTCGGGCGTTCAAGACCAGCCTGACCAACATGGTAAAACCCCATCTTAAAAAAAAAAAACAAAAAAAGAACTTATCACTTTGGCCAGGCGCGGTGGCTCACGCCTATAATCCCAGCACTTTGGGAGGCCGAGGCGGGTGGATCACGAGGTCAAGAGATCGAGACCATCCTGGTCAACACGGTGAAACCCCGTCTCTACTAAAAATACAAAAAATTAGCTGGGCATGGTGGCGCGTGCCTGTAATTCCAGCTACTCAGGAGGCTGAGGCAGGAGAATTGCCTGAACCCAGGAGACGGAGGTTGCGGTGAGCCGAGATCACACCATTGCACTCCAGCCTGGGTAACAAGAGCGAAACTCTGTCCCAATTAAAAAAAAAAAAAACAAAACAAAACAAAAATAATTGTTGGCCTGGCGCAGTGGCTCACTCACGCCTGTAATCCCAGCACTTTGGGAGCCCAGGGCGTGTGCATTGATCACTTGAGGTCAGGAATTCAAGACCAGCCTGACCAACATGGTGAAATCCCATCTCTACTAAAAATATAAAAATTAGCTGGTTATGGTGGCGTACACCTGTAATCTCAGCTGTGAGGGAGGCTGAGGCACAAGAATCATTTGAACTGTGGAGGCAGAGGTTGCAGTGAGCCAAGATGGCACCACTGTACTCCAGCCTGGGTGACAGAGTAAGACTCTGTCTCAAAAAACAGAAAGATAAAAGAAAAATAATTATTGTTTGCTTTATAGCTGTATATGCATATAATTATGTCTGTCTATATATATGTGTGTTTTATTTACTTATTGTGGTCTCTTTTAGGGGAGCATCATGACAGAGTCTCAGATTACCCAAGTAAACCAGCGTGTAAAGGAGTTACTCACTCTGATTCGCTCAGATGCTGTTGCTTTGGTTGATGCATTTGATTTTCAGGATGTGACGCTTGGCTCTGTGCTTGGCCGCTATGATGGAAATGTGTATGAAAATTTGTTTGAGTGGGCTAAGAACTCCCCACTGAACAAAGCAGAGGTAAAATCCAATATCTTTGCACCTTTTTTAAAGTCTTCACTTCAATATTGAGGCAAGAAAGGCCTCTGGAAAGAAATTTATCTGTGAAAGCTTTGAAAGCACTGTGGCCACTTCTGACAGTCACTTTATTTGAGCAACAGGCTCAGAAAGGAACTGGGTTAGTCCCACAGTAACCAGGGTCTTAATCAATTTCAATTTTTGTTAACAAATTGAACATTAAAAAATATATACAAGGCCGGGCGCGGTGGCTCAAGCCTGTAATCCCAGCACTTTGGGAGGCCGAGGCGGGTGGATCACGAGGTCAAGAGATCGAGACCACCCTGGTCAACATGGTGAAACCCCGTCTCTACTAAAAATACAAAAAATTAGCTGGGCATGGTGGCGCGTGCCTGTAATCCCAGTGACTCAGGAGGCTGAGGCAGGAGAATTGCCTGAACCCAGGAGGCGGAGGTTGCGGTGAGCCGAGATCGCGCCATTGCACTCCAGTCTGGGCAACAAGAGCGAAACTCCGTCTCAAAAAAAAAAAAAAATATATATATATATATATATATATACAAGCCAGGTGTGTTGGCTCATGCCTATAATCCCAGCACTTTGGGAGGCCAAGGTGTGCGGATCACTCTAGGTCAGGAGTTTGAGACTAACCTGGCCAAAATGGTGAAACCCCTGTCTCTACTAAAATATAAGAAATCGCCAGGTGCGGTGGCTCACACCTGTAATCCTAGCACTTTGGGAGGCCAAGGCAGGCAGATCATGCGGCCAGGAGATCGAGACCATCCTGGACAACATGGTGAAACTCCGTCTTTACTAAGAATACAAAAATTAGCGGGGTGTGGTGGCTCACGCCTGTAGTCCCAGCTTCTCAGGAGACTGAGGTAGGAGAATTACTCGAACCTGGGAGGCAGAGGTTACAGGGAGCCGAAATTGTACCACTGCCCTCTAGCCTGGATGACAAGAGGGAAACTCTAGCTCAAAAAATACACACACACACACACACACACACACACACACACACACACACATAGAATAAAATATACACAAAGAATTCCATTGTGCTCTTTCGTACACCCTTTGTCTAGCTGCAATGACTATCAACTCGTGACCAGTTGTGTTTCATCTGAGCACCCCTCCTCCTTCTCTTGGGGACTATTTTGAAATAAACCTAAGATATTAGATACTTTTATTCATAAATAACTCAACACATAGCTCTGAAAGATTAGGACTCTTTTAAAAAAAAAAAAAAAGACAGGATTTCACCATGTTGGTCAGGCTGGTCTTGAACTTCTGACCTCAGGTGATCCGCCTGCCTCGGCCTCCAAAGTGCTTGGATTACAGGCTGTGAGCCACCGTGCCTGGCCAAGATTAGGACTGTTAAGAAACAACCACAGGCCGGGCACGGTGGCTCGTGCCTGTAATCCTAGCACTTTGGGAGGCTGAGGTGGGTGGATCACTTGAGTTGAGGAGTTCTAGACCAGCCTGGGCAATGTGGCAGACCCCCATCTCTACAAAAAATACAAATATCAGCTAGGCATTGTGGCGCACACCTGTAGTTCCATCTGCTTGGGAGGCTGAGATGGGAAGATCACTGGAGCCTGGGAGGCAGAGGCTGTAGTGAGCCAAGATTGTGCCACTGCACTCCAGCCTGGGCAACAGAGCAGGACTCCGTCTCAAAAAAAAAAAAAAAAGGTATATTATTTAACATGGCAAACTCTTTATCAGTAGTTCCTCTCTCTCCCTTCCCTACAGGTCCATGAATCTTACTACAAGCACCTGAAGTCACTGCAGTCCAAGCTCTGACGTGGCACAAGGACAAGTTGAATCTGCTCCAGGAAATACTTGTGTGCAGCTCAAATCTGTGTGGAATCTTTTTCGAATTCAAATAGCTATAGAGCAAATGATAAATTGACCCCTTTTTATAAATGACGGGGAAAAAAATGAACAGATTTCAGAGATTAAATGAAAAACAGATATTTTAAGTGCAATTAACACTGAAAGAGACCTGTTAAGGATTCAGAAAAAGCTTAAGAAATGCGATATTACTTCCTTTTATAATGCTGCTGATCCCAATAGACTATGACTTTTGATAATTAGCAGAATTTAACTACTAAGTAGTTAATTATTTTCACATTTTAATTGCTAATCACTGGCTATATAAGGGTTTTTAAGCAAAGGTGTTTTTTGAAGTGGTATAAAACCCTTCCAAGCTTTCCTGCTCAGTGTCCTATCAGACTTAACCACGGGGGCCTGGCTTAAAAGCAGGGTTGAAGAAAAGGGACTAGGGAAGGAAACTAATTGGAAAACTTAATGTGAATGAGTTCGTGCCTGGCGCAGTCTCCGCCTGCTTGCTCTCCTTTGCTGATGGATTGTGTTTATCAAACTATTCATGCTAGCGTTTCTCCAGCAAGAGGACTTCTTTAGCATGGGCCTACCATTGTCTTGTGTAATTAGTAATTTTCCATTTGAAGGATCAATAAATTGTCACAGTAGTAGGAAGCGTAGGGAGAGCTCTCAGCTGTGGCACTGCTGTAACAGTGGTGACCGTATTAACTGGATTTTCTGGGACAATCAGATATCAAATATTCTGTCATCTTGGCATAAGCCATTAAAAGCCTGGAGGTTACCGTATTTGGCATTAAAAAGAAAATGTCACTTAGGTCACCTCACTCGAAAAAGTAGCACAGAAAAACCCCTCGACACAAACCATGTGTTCTGATTTTTGGTTCAGAAAATATAATAATTGAAACTGTGGGGTTTTTTTTTTTTTTTTTTTTAAACAACTGAGGAAAAACAAAACCAAAAAACTATAGTTAGAAGATAAACGGAAGTTCCATAGGTTCTAGTTCTTATATGTATGGCTTTGTTTTCAGTATATTTCTAGGAGCTTCATCTGAATTGCTACATTGTCCTTTCAGTTGAAATCTAATTTACACAATCATTCTCTATTTAAAGGCTAAATACATACTTCTTATTTTTTTCTTAAAATCAATGTAAGTTACTTTTTTTTTTTAATCTGTGTCATATGCCTCATGAAACAGCTGTTCTAGAACCAGTCCTAAGAATATGGTATAATTCCATGGAAACATAATTCTTATCTTGGGACCTGACATAAAATCTATCCTGGAGAACAGGTAATAAGAGACTTTTAGGTTACAGCAGAAATTCTGCATGTTGACAGAAGCCTTAATCTTTCCACTGGGAGAACTAATTGATAATTGTGTTAAGATTGAAGATTAAACCTGTGTTAATCTCATGTGAGTCTGTCTTGACAGTAGTTCAGATTCTGGGAAATGATAGAAAGTAAACTTAAATGGCTTAATACTGACCTGCTAGATGTAGAATTGTTTCAAAATTTGTGTTGAAATACCTTACTCACAGATGACTATCTGGGCAGGATCTGAGGGTGGTTGAAATGACACCCACCTAATCCAGATGCATAGATGGACTGTCTTAGCAGGTTTGAGGAGCTCATAGACACTACAGAGCCCCCTTTGACCCAGTACCTCAAGTTTTATTTAAAATCTAAACCTGACATTTGATGCTATTTTTATTAATATTTGGAATGTTCTGTCTTGAACCTTATTCAGTATAATCAAAGAATAAAGATATAGTAAACTTCACTGATTTGTGCTATTAAGAGAGAGAAAATATGCCACACAATTAAACATAGGTTTAAATTATGAAGAAATGTAAAATATAGGTTAATTCGATTTCAGTAACACTAAGAACAAAAAAGAACGCAGTGGAACCTGCCGGAGCAGATGGCTGTAAATCAGCATAATTCCTGTTGTATGTAGCAGTAGTTGTGAGTGGCTCCAGTCATTTTAGGAGTCCTTGGAAATACCTGGTACACATTTGTTGGCTGCACCTTAAAGGAAGTGGCAGGTCCAGCTTGTTCTCTCTACCACGCCAGACTGCCGCTGACAAGTTTGGGTCCGTTGGATTCAAAATTTTGTGAACCATTTTCACAAGTACAAAGATAGATTGTAACCTTATCTTCTCCAAAATTACTGAGTAGAATTTTTATTTTTTATTTTTATCTTTTTGAGATGGGATATCACCCTGTCGCCCAGACTGGAGTGCAGTGGTGGAATCTTGGCTCATGGTGACCTTTGCCTCCCGGGTTCAAGTGGTCCTTCCACCTCAGCCTTCTGAGTAACTGGGACCACAGGCATGTGCCACCACACCCGGCTAATTTGTTCTTTTTTTGGTGGCGGGGAGTGGGGGCGGGGGTGGAAGGCCCGCTCTTTTCCCCAGGCTGGAGTGCAGTGATGTGATCGTGGCTCACTGCAACCTCCTCCTCCTGGGTTCAAGCGATTCTCCTGCCTCAGCCTCTAGAGTAGCTGGGAATACGGTATTTTTAGTAGAGAGGGGCTTTCACCATGTTGGCCAGACTGGTCTCGAACTCCCGACCTGGTGATCTGCTCACCTTGGCCGCCCAAAGTGCTAGAATTACAGGTGTGAGCCATTGCATTGGGCCAATTTGTTCTTTTTTTGTAGAGATGGGGTTTTACCATGTTGCCCAGGTTGGTCTCAGACTCTGGGCTCAAGCGATCATCCTGCCTCAGCCTCCCAAAGTGCTAAGATTACAGGTGTGAGCCACAGCATCTTGCCCAGAGTGAGTAGAATTAATGAGATTTTTGTGTGTGTGTGTGTTAGATGATACTGATTTAAGCCTTTTTTGAAAAAAAGTACTCTCAACAGAATACAAAATTGAAAATTTGAGGTTTAATAGAGATGTGTTGGCTCTCTGCAATGAACTCTTGCTCAAGTGTCTAGAGTTCTACTTTATGCTTCGTATTTATGAATACGAATGAGATCATTTTTAGTGACCTCAAAGCAGAGTTGTTGTTATTGTCTTTAGATTATCTTATTATCAATAAGGTAATCAGCTTATCTTCAGAACATTACAACATTCACTGTGTTCATATGCTGTTATTACAAGAAGTCACCACTTGTAATTTCAGATTACATATACCTGAAGGCATTTTACAGTTCCTAAAGTTAACATGTTAGATCTTTTTTTTCCACCCCATGAAGGTCTCACTCTTATCCAGGCTGCAGGGCAGTGGTGTGATTGTAGCACACTGTGGTCACCAACTCTTGGGCTCAAGTGATCCTCCTGCCTCGGCCTCTGAGAAGCTGGGATTACAGGTGCGCACCACCACACCTGGCTAATTTTTATTTTTTTTATAGTTTGGAGATAGGGTCTGGCTATGTTTCCTTGGGCTGGTCTTGAACTCCTGGTCTCAGGTGATCCTCCCCGCTTGGGCCTCCCAAAGGATTGGGATTACAGGAGTGAGCTACCGCGCTGGGCCAACATGTTACATCTTTTGTTGTTGTTGAGACGGAATCTCACTTTTGCCCAGGCAGGAGTGCAATGGCACAATTTCGGCTCACTGCAACATTCACCTCCCAGGTTCAAGCAATTCTCCCACCTCAACCTCCTGAGTAGCTGACATTACAGGCACCCACCATCACGCCCAGTAATTTTTGTATTTTAAGCACAGATGGGGTTTCACCATGTTGGCCAGGTGATCTGCAATCCCCCCCACCCCAAACAAAGTGCTGGGATTACAGGCGTGAGCCACCACACCCAGCCAACATGTTACATCTTAATTCTTGGATTTTCTTCACTGCAGGACTTTGGGTGGAGAAATAAAACTCTCCAAATGCATAATCCTGGAGATCCCTGTGAATCAATAATTATTTAGACAACTTCAGCTCGGCTTAAAATCCCTCCTCTCCCTTTTCTGAGTTCTTCATCTTGTTAGAAAGGAAGTGAATTAGATGTAGGTGGTCTGTAACATTTGCACATCTTTTATACGTGTAGAGGATATGCCTGGGATATATAGGTTGCCTTCAAGCAGTAGCTGCTACTACAGCTAGAGAGAGGAGGAGTGATGTTTTTGATCATTTTCATGAAATAATGCAGGGAAGTCATTTCTGCTGTTTATTTGCTACTGCATTCTTGGAGGAGTAGAAGAAGTGACGCCGTAATTTACTAAAATGACTTTTTATTTTAAAATACTGATAATGGGGGTTGGGCGCGGTGGCTCATGCCCGTAATCCCAGCACTTTGGGAGGCCAACGCGGGCAGATCACGTGGTCAAGAGATCTAGACCATCCTGGCCAACTTGGTGAAACCCCGTCTCTACTAAAAATTTAAAAATCAGCTGGGTGTGGTGGTGGGCACCCGTAGTCCCAGCTACTCAGGAGGCTGAGGCGGGAGAATTGCTTGAACCTGGGAGGCAGAGGTTGCCATGAGCCAAGATCACGCCATTGCACTCCAGCCTGGGCAACAGAGTGAGACTCTGTCTCAAAAAATTAAAAAAAAAAAAATACTGATGATGGGGTTTTGCTTTTAACTGTACACACTTAACAGATTTTCCAGTACCTATTCCTGTGATCCATGATAGTAAACATAGAAACACATAAGGAACATTGTTGGAGTTGCCAGACGTTAGCTGTTGCATATGTGCACATTCCTAGATTCTAGGGTGTTTTTGCCTTTAAGTGGGTCATTGGTTGTCTTGGGAAGATCATGGAAAATTGGGGATTTTTTAAGAATTATGAATCAAAATACGTTTTGAATGTTTCTTATATTTTATGTAGTAGATGTGTGATTTCCACCTTCCACATTCAGACTGCTGACTACACCTCATAAATGCCTTTTTATTTCCAATTGCTATGGATTCAACTAAATGTATCCCTTGGGAGCGGATCATTACTTTGCTACATTTTTCCCTCTTTGCTGTTGTGTGAGTTTGGTTCATACCTGAGAAGATGCATAGTATGTGTTGTTACCCAGCCCTGGCTTGATGGTGTCCTGTGGGCGTAGGGGTAGGAGGACGAGGGGCATCTGGCCAGAGCTGTGAATGGATCACAGTTGGCCAGCGGGTGACTTGCCACCACTGCGGGTAAGCCAAACTGCAAACCGTTCTTTCCTCTGTGAAATTCAATAACACTTAATAAAATCCATAATTAGCACATACTAGACAAAATGTGACGTATCTTTTTGTGGGGTGACAGCATTGGGTTTCATTCTGGCTATACAGCTTGGATTGGATTATTAAACAGGAAGGTCAGACACTTTTTGGGGTGTGGAATAAACACGGATGAATTTGTGGATTCACTTGTCACCCTTTCAATATCAACACATTTCTCACGCCTCCGCGCTGGCCACGTGTCAGCCATCAGAAGAGGGCAGGAGGAACTTTGAAGTGTTGCCGGCCGTCACTAAGAGGGCCTTTGATCCTAGCGCCCTCTTCCGGGAGAGGCGTTGGGGCAGCTCCTAGCAACATGCTCGCCGCCGGCAGGAGGCCCGGCCCGGCGAACGTTCTCGCGGGGCTCCCTGGGTGCTGTAGTTCCTCACGGTGTCCCAGCCTCCTCGGTGCGGGAGGGTAACCGGACCGCCGACTACAACTCCCAGGGTGGCTCGGGTCCGCCTTTTCGCGGGAGGCCGGATGGCTGGGGGTGGCTGCAGCGGCCGGAAGCCGGAGGCCTAGTCTGGCTGGCCTGGGCGATCTGAATGGAGCCGGGGCTGGCGCTGGTCCCAGCGTCCGCGCTTCCCGGGGCACAGCGCGTAACGGGAGGCTTCCGGGGCTGGGAGCGTTACAGGCTGCTCTGGGGGGCCAGATAGGCCGAGCGCTCAGAAGGGTGACGCATTGAGGGGCGCGGAGTTTCGGGACGGAGGGGTGACGCCGGGGAGGGCATTTGCTTAGGGGTGGTCTCGGGATCTGTAAACACCTGGTGCGCCTCTGTAGTCCCAGCTACTCGGGACGCTGAGGCAGGAGCATCACTTGAACCCGGGAGGCAAAGGTGGTGGTGAGCCGAGATCGCGCCACCACGCTCCAGCCTGGGCAACAAAGCGGGACTCCGTCTCAAAAAAAAAAAAAAGAAAAAAAAAGAAAACACAAGGATTCGGGGTGGGCTCTGTAGGTAAGCCCAGTTAACCTTTGCATTCCAATAACAGGACAGGCCAACACCTGGGACATAAAGATGACCCCTCTGACTCATTTCTGCCAAGACATCCTGTAGGTGGGTTTTGGAAAAGCAGAGGAATGGGAGTAAGAGCTAATTCTGAGGAAAACTATTCTCCGTGGGTCAGATTTACTGCCTATGTAAAGGGAAATATTTCTACCGTCAGTGAAAATCGTGTTGCTGGACGTGGTGGCTCACACCTGTAATCCCAGCACTTTGGGAGACCAATGCAGGAGGAATGCTTGAGTCCCAGAGTTCAATTCCAGCCTGGGTAATACAGTGAGACCCTGTCTCTAAAAACAAATTTTAAAAAAGAAAAAGTATCATGGCAAAGAGTAACCAGAGCTCACACCTGCTTTTGTGCTAAATGCTGCCTAGAAAGTAGTCATGGGTGTTGCCTGGGAAAGGGCTCCAGTCTTGGAGCCAGGCACCCACCTCCTTTCTGAAATGAGTACTTGCCGCTTGCCATATCGGCTTTCAGGGTAAGGGATGATGGCCACTGCCCTTTGTTCAAATAATCGCAAAGCCTCAGAAAGCCCGGTAACTTACCCTGAGCACTTTTTTTTTTTTCAGACGGAGTCTCGCTCTGCCGCCAAGCTGGAGTGCAGTGGCGCGATCTTGGTGCACTGCAACCTCTGCCTCCCGGGTTCAAGCGATTCTCCTGCCTTAGCTTCCCAGATAGCTGGAACTACAGGCGTGCACCACAATGTCCAGCTAATTTTTGTATTTTTAGTAAAGATGGAGTTTCACCATGCTGGCCAGGATGGTCTCCATCTTTTGACCTCATGATCCACCTGCCTCGGCCTCCCAAAGTGCTGGGATTACAGGCATAAGACACCATGCTCAGCCTTACAGCACTTTTTTTTTTTAAGATAGAGTCTCTTTCTGTTGCCCAGGCTGGAGTGCAGTGCCACGATATCGGCTCACTGCAACCTGCACCTCCTGGGTTCAAAACAATTCTCATGCCTGAGCCTCCCGAGTAGCTGGGATTACAGGTGCACATCACCGCACCCAGCTAATTTTTGTATTTTTTTTTTTTTTTTTTTTT